GTAGAGGTGTTTATATTATTCTCTGATGGTAGTTTGTATTTCTGTGGAGTCGGTGATGATATCCCCTTTATCACTTTTTATTGCATCTATTAGATTCTTCTCTCCTTTCTTCTTTATTAGTCTTGCTAGCGGACTATCTATTTTGTTGATCTTTTCAAAAAACCAACTCCTGGATTCATTGATTTTTTGGAGGGTTTTTTGTGTCTCTATCTCCTTCAGTTCTGCTCTGATCTTAGTTATTTCTTGCCTTCTGCTAGCTTTTGAATGTGTTTGCTCTTGCCTCTCTAGTTCTTTTAATTGTGATGTTAGAGTGTCAATTTTAGATCTTTCCTGCTTTCTCTTGTGGGCATTTAGTGCTATAAATTTCCTTCTACACTCTGCTTTAAATGTGTCTCATACAACATATCTGGTATGTTGTATCTTTGTTCCCATTGGTTTCAAAGAACATCTTTATTTCTGCCTTCATTTTGTTATAGACCCAGTAGTCATTCAGGAGCAGGTTATTCAGTTTCCATGTAGTTGAGCGGTTTTGATTGAGTTTCTTAGTCCTGAGTTCTAGTTTGATTGCACTGTGGTCTGAGAGACAGTTTGTTATAATTTCTGTTCTTGTACATTTGCTGAGGAGTGCCTTACTTCCAATTATGTGGTCAATTTTGGAATAAGTGTGATGTGGTGCTGAGAAGAACGTATATTCTGTTGATTTGGGGTGGAGAGTTCTGTAGATGTCTATTAGGTCTGCTTGCTGCAGAGATGAGTTCAATTCCTGGATATCCTCGTTAACTTTCCATCTCGTTGATCTGTCTAATGTTGACAGTGGGGTGTTGAAGTCTCCCATTATTATTGTGTGGGAGTCTAAGTGTCTCTAAGGACTTGCTTTATGAATATGGGTGCTCCTGTATTGGGTGCATATATATTTAGGATAGTTAGGTCTTCCTGTTGAATTGATCCCTTTACTATTATGTAATGGCCCTCTTTGTCTCTTTTGATCTTTGATGGTTTAAAGTCTGTTTTATCAGAGACTAGTATTGCAACCTCTGCTTTTTTTTGTTCTCCATTTGCTCGGTAGATCTTCCTCCATTCCTTTATTTTGAGCCTATGTATGTCTCTGTATGTGAGATGGGCTCCTGAATACAGCAGACTGATGGGTCTTGACTGTTTATCCAATTTGCCAGTCTGTGTCTTTTAATTGGAGCATTTAGTCCATTTACATTTAAGGTTAATATTGTTATGTGTGAACTTGATCCTGCCATTATGATATTAACTGGTTATTTTGCTCGTTAGTTGATGCAGTTTCTTCCTAGCCTCGATGGTCTTTACATTTTGGCATGTTTTTGCAATGGCTGGTACCGGTTGTTCCTTTCCATGTTTAGTGCTTCCTTCAGGGTCTCTTGTAAGGCAGGCCTGGTGGTGACAAAATCTCTAAGCATTTGCTTATCTGTAAAGGATTTTATTTCTCCTTCACTTATGAAACTGAGTTTGGCTGGATATGAAATTCTGGGTTGAAAACTCTTTTCTTTAAGAATGTTGAATATTGGCCCCCACTCTCTTCTGGCTTGTAGAGTTCCTGCCAAGAGATCTGCTGTTAGTCTGATGGGCTTCCCTTTTTGGGTAATCCGACCTTTCTCTCTGGCTGCGCTTAAGATTTTTTCCTTCATTTCAACTTTGGTGAATCTGGCAATTATGTGTCTTGCAGTTGCTCTTCTCGAGCAGTATCTTTGTGGTGTTCTCTGTATTTCCTGAATTTGAATGTTGGCCTGCCCTACTAGGTTAGGGAAGTTCTCTTGGATGATATCCTGAAGAGTGTTTTCCAACTTGGTTCCATTTCCCCCCTCAGTTTCAGGCACCCCAATCAGACGTAGATTTGGTCTTTTTACATTATCCCATACTTCTTGCAGGCTTTGTTCATTTCTTTTTCTTCTTTTTTCTTTAGATTTCTCTTCTCGCTTCATTTCATTCATTTGATCCTCAATCAATGATACTCTTTCTTCCAGTTGATCGAGTCGGTTACTGAAGCTCGTGCATTTGTCACGTATTTCTGGTGTCATGGTTTTCATCTCTGTCAGTTCGTTTATGGCCTTCTCTGCATTAACTATTCCAGTTATCAATTCTTCCACTCTTTTTTCAAGATTTTTAGTTTCTTTGCGCTGGGTACGTAATTCCTCCCTTAGCTCTGAGAAGTTTGATGGACTGAAGCCTTCTTCTCTCATCTCGTCAAAGTCATTCTCCGTTTAGCTTTGATCCGTTGCTGGTGATGAGCTGCGTTCCTTTGCAGGGGGAGATGCGCTCTTAGTTTTTGAATTTCCAGCTTTTCTGCCCTGCTTTTTCCCCATTTTTGTGGTTTTATCTGCCTCTGGTCTCTGATGATGGTGATGTACTGATGGGGTTTTGGTGTCGGTGTCCTTCCTGTTTGTTAGTTTTCCTTCTAACAGTCAGGACCCTCAGCTGTAGGTCTGTTGGAGATTGCTTGAGGTCCATTCCAGACCCTGTTTGCCTGGGTGTCAGCAGCAGAGGCTGCAGAAGATAGAATATTGCTGAACAGCGAGTGTACCTGTCTGATTCTTGCTTTGGAAACTTCCTCTCAGGGGTGTACTCCACCGTGTGAGGTGTGGGGTGTCGGTCTGCCCCTAGTGGAAGATGTCTCCCAGTTAGGCTACTCAGGAGTCAGGGAACCACTGGAGCAGGCAGTCTGTCCGTTCTCAGATCTCAACCTCTGTGTTGGGAGATCCACTGCTCTCTTCAAAGCTGTCAGACAGAGTTATTTGCGTCTGCAGGGGTTTCTGCTTTTTGTTGTTGTTGTTGTTTAGCTGTGCCCTGTCCCCAGAGGTGGAGTCTACAGAGACAGGCAGGCCTCCTTGAGCTGCTGTGAGCTCCACCCAGTTCGAGCTTCCCAGGCTTTGTTTACCTACTTAAGCCTCAGCAATGGCGGGCGCCCCTCCCCAAGCCTCGCTACTGCCTTGCCATTAGATTGCAGACTGCTGTGCTAGTAATGAGGGAGGCTCCGTGGTGTGGGACCCTCCCGGCCAGGTATGGGATATAATCTCCTGGTGTGCTCATTTGCTAAGACCCTTACTGTAAAGCGCAGTATTCGGGTGGGAGTTACCCAATTTTCCAGGTGTTGTGTGTCTCAGTTCCCCTGGCTAGGAAAAGGGATTCCCTTCCCCCTTGCACTTCCCAGGTAAGGCGATGCCTCACCCTGCTTCAGCTCTCGCTGGTCGGGCTGCAGCAGCTGACCAGCACTGATTGTCCGGCATTCCCTAGTGGGATGAACCCAGTACCTCAGTTGAAAATGCAGAAATCACCTGTCTCCTGTGTCACTCACGCTGGGAGCTGGAGACTCTACTGATCCTTTCAAGATCTCTTGTAAGGCAGCTCTGGTGGTAACAAACCCCCTCGACATTTGCTTATCTGGAAAGGATCTTATTTCTCCTTCACTTAGGAAGATTTAGTTTTAGATACCTGGGCTTTCCAGGTTTCCCAGCAAAAGTTGTAACTCTGTCAAAAGAGGGAGGTGAAGGAAATTAGACCCCTCCCCCATACATATCTCAGAACTTTGGGAAGCCAGTGCAGGTGGATCACTTGAGGTCAGGAGTTTGAGACCAGCCTGGACAATGTGGTGAAACTACATCTCCACTGGAAAAAAAAAAAAAAATTGTGTGTGTGTGTGTGTATATATACATATAATAGGTGCCTGCCACCATGACCTGCTAATTTTGTGTGTGTATATATGCATACACACAAAAATTTGATATACGTGTGTGTGTGTGTGCATGTATATATACACACGAAATTAGCAGGACGTGGTGGCAGGCACCTATAATCCCAGCTACTCAGGAGACTGAGGCAGGGGTATCACTTGAACCCAAGAGGCAGAAGTTGCAGTGAGCCGAGATCGCACCACTGCACTCCAGCCTGGATGACAAAGCAAGGCTTCATCTCAAATAAATAAATAAATAAATATTAAGATTTTATTTCACCTTGTGTCCATTTTGGTATGTTGTATTTTTCAAGAAATTTTATATTTAAAAATGCTTTATATTTAAAATGTTTCTTATAGATGGCATATAGTTGGGTATTTTGTGTGGTCTCTAATCTGACAATCTCAGCCTTTTGAGTGTTTAATCCATTTATATTTAATGTAATTACACATATGGCTAAATTTATCAATTTGTTATTTGTTTTCTATTTACCCTGTCTGATTTGTTTATTTGTTTACACTTTCCTGCTTTTTTTTTTTGGACATGGGGGTGGTAAATCTAATATTGTTTAGAATTCCATTTCAATTATTTCAGTTGCTTTTTAGTGATTTCTCTTTATATTGCTTTTAATGGTTATTCTAAGAACTATAATATGCATCGTTATCTAATTTTAGTCTAGTTAGAGGAGTATTAGAAAACTTCACATGAAATCTAAAAGCCTTGCAACAATATACTTTCACTTACCTCTCATTTTTTGTGCTGGTTATCATATGCATTACATCTACAAATGTAATAAACCCCAGATTACAGGATTGTTACAGTTTTTTAATCAATCATATGACTCTTAAAAAATTAGAAGAAAAATATATAATATTTTATATTTACCCATATATTTACCATTTCAGGTGTTCTTCCTATCTTCTAATAGATTTACATTTCCATCTGGAGTCTTCCTTAAATTCAACTCATAAATCTCATCGTTCTACTTACAAATATAGCACCGAGGTTTAATCAATTTTAAGCGAGCTTTTAATGAATGCTTGGTCCCAATTACAAACCTAAACACTCTTAAACAGTACATATTGTATTTAAAAGTTCAATACATTGCTTTTTCTAAAAGTACCTCAATAGTCTAGTAAGTAAATAAGACCTTTCCAAGTATAAACAGAGCTCTCATAAATAAAATAAATTTAAGTCATAAATATGGTGAGTCTTAAGATCTTCTAAATGTTACCATATTATTTTAAAACTTAGTGTCATTGGTCTGTTTTTTGTTGTTATACCAGAATACTTGAGACTGGGTTGTTTTTTAAAGAAAATTAATTTATTTCTTACAATTCTGGATTCTGGGAATTCCAAGGGTATGGTGCGGCATTCAGTTGGCTTCTGGTGAGGACCTTCTTGTGTCATAACATGCTGGAGGGCATCACATGGAAAGGAAAAGAGCATGCCAAACTGACTTTTATAAGAGACCCACTGTGATAACTAACCCATTCCAGTGATAACCCATTAATCGATTAACGCATTAATCCATCTTTCTGCCCTCATGACCCAATCACCTCTTAAAAGCTTCACCTCGTAATACTGTTCCATTGGGGATTAAGTTTCAGCATGAGTTTTGGAGGGAACATTCAAACCACTGCACTTAGAAAGACTTCAATTTAAAACCACAAGTTCAATCCAATCACTCAATTATACATTTTAAAATTTGGAATCTCAAAGCTTATCTTCACTTGAATATGCTAAATTATCTTTAATATTACATACAATTAAAAATCAAATTTGTACCATCAATCCCGGGAGAAGACCCTATTTCTTTATTTCTATACATAACTCGGAACCTTCCCAAAGTTAAAACACATTCACCCACTAAGGAAACAATTGTATCATCTCAAACGATTTGAACTTGTCTGTTTCAATGGCAGAGCCATATTTGCTATGGAGATGCCCAGAGCTGCTTGATTCCTTTCTACATAGTTTTTCCTTCTTTCTCTCAATTGTGGCAGCTCCTTCAAACTATTTCATAAAATTCCCTTTTTGCTTAACTTTTTAAAAATTTGTTTCTTTTGCTTGCAACCAAAGAACTCTAATCTACCAGAGAGTTGCAGCCCATACATTATCTTGCAAATATGGTTATTAAGAATTGGATAGAGCCAAGATGGGGTAGAAGATCGTTAACTCTAAGTTCAAATTACAAAAGTAGAACATAGTAGTCTGTGTTATGCAGTGGTGAAACCGCTCAACAAATTATCTCTTAGGCTGCATGGCCACTGAAAATGAAGCTGTAACTGAAGGAAACTGGTAACTGTTGCCACCCAACAATTTAAAGAGTTTAAAGGATGTGAAAAGTTTTAGGACTTTGGGGGTGAGATGACAACTTCAGACAGGACCAGGTAACTTAAACCACGAGAAGTTTGTTCCCTAAATTTAACCTTAGAACAAGAAAAAAATACTGACTCAAAAGCTAAGATTTCTTTGAAACAAATTTAAGAGTTTGAATCTGTGCATTGCTGTTCTGATTTGTAAACTTTAGGCAACTGATAAGGGAAAGCTCTACAAGGAAAAATGGAGACATAGAAGTTGAAGTACTCCAAACCTCCAAATCCTCTGTAAATGCTATCAACAACACATAATCTGACAAGGAGTGTTTCTTGTAAACAACTGTATCTGCTTTGCCTGAGGAAACCGTCACTCCCTTGAGGAGGAAGCCATTAATTCCCTTATGCTCCACCCTTCATTGTTACTTAGGCCAGGATCCAATCCCAACGTGGAGACTGAAAGTCAAATTAAACTACCTGAAATTGAAATTAAACCACCTGAAAGTGAAAGTTTGGCCACGAAATAAGTTACAGGCATTTGTTGATTTATACGGTCAAAAATACAAAAATTATTTTGGAAACTCAGGGTGCCCAACCATAGATCAATAAAATTAAATCAGGCTTAATTTGTTGATGTAGGTATATATGTCATTGTACTTTTGTGCAGCTATATAAGGCAGTTTGCTGGTTTAGTTAATGCTATTCTAAATCCAGAGCTATTCCGTTTAAAAAGAAATCAACATGGTCGAACCTCCTTGATATAAAGCAGAGTGTGAAAGGAAAATAAATCTCACCAAGCCAAAGGGAAAAGTCAAGCTGGAAACTGCATCAAGCAAACCTGCATCCCATTTTATTCCTAAATAAGATAGCTACAAAGATAAAAAAGATACAAACCTCCCTCACAATTTGCCCACAAGAAAATTCCTCGTGGACCTCATGATCTTTACGCTAAAACAGTTCTGCTGATTTTCACCCTGGCAATGTAAATTGATAGCTTATCTTCACAGGTAAGGGACAAAAAACAGAACTCAAAGTCATCCCTCTGCTCAACTAAGACAAATACATATCTGATTGCTTCCTAGGCCCCACTGTTCATGTAAAAATGCAGATTCACGAGCCAGACTAAGGCATAAATAACTATTCCTTTAAACCCCTCTCACATGTGAATTGTGTATTCAGTGAAAGGTTGATTGAAGACTCAGAAAAATGCAACCATTTGTCTTTTATCTACCTATGACCTGAAAGCCCCACTGCCACCCCCTACCCCACCCCACTTTGAGTTGTCCTGTCTTTTCAGAGTGAAACAATGTACAACTTACATGTATTGACCAACATTTCATGTCTCCCGAAAATATATAAAATTGGCCAGGCGTGGTGGCTCATGCCTGTAATCCCACCACTTTGGGAAACCAAGGCAGGTGGATCATGAGGTCAGGAGATCGAGACCATCCTGGCTAACCCGGTGAAACCCTGTCTCCACTAAAAATACAAAAAAATTGCCAGGTGTGGTGGCGGGTTCCTGTAGTCCCAGCTACTCAGGAGGCTAAGGCAGGAGAATGGTGTGAACCCAGGAGGTGGAGGTTGCAGTGAGCCAAGATCGTGCCACTGCACTCCAGCCTGAGCAACAGAGTGAGACTCCGTCTAAAAAAATAATAATAATAAAAAAAATAAAAAGTATAAAATCAAGCTGTACCTTGACCACCTTGGTTACATGTTATTAGGACCTCCTGAAGCTGTATCACAAGTGCATCCTTAACCTTGGCAAAATAAACATTCTAAATTGATTGAGATCTGTCCCAGATACTTTTGGTTTGCAAGGTAGAAACAGGACTATTGAAGCAAGGCACTTTGTCAAGGGGTGGATGGGAAATGAAAGCTAGAGCAATCAGAATTTCATCTTCCCGAACTTTAACTCTTAGACTTTGTATTAACACTTGTAGGTTGTTAATTCTAATAGCATCAGATGAGACTATACAATGGTTCTTTCCACAGAAACTCTAAAGTTGCACAGTTTCTGTCCTATCAGGCTTCCTTTCAAACCTGTAGTTATTCCATATGAGTCCTATAAAGACGTGCTTTTTGCCTAAATTGGTAGGAACTGTTTTCTGTTGCTTGCAACCAAAAAACCCTAAGAAATACAATGCTCTTTCTCATTCTCCTCTTCTGCTGGTGATCCTTTAAATAGCACAGAGCTCTATTTCTCACTCCTCTTTTTTCATTATGCATTCTTCCTCTAAATATTCCACTTTCATAGCTTTAATAATCACCTATATACTGATTCATAAACATGTATCTCTATTTCAGATAGTTCCCTTTCCCATAGGAACCTTAAACTCAATCTGCCCAAAAGTAAACTCGACTTTCCTTGCAAACTGCTTTTTCTCCTGTATTTTCTATCTCAATGAAAATTCACCACCATTCACCCAGATTTTTACACCATAAACTGTTGAGTCTTAATTTGACTCTTTCCTCTTCTTCGTACTCTGTGCTTCCGCATTTTGACCCTTAACATTCAATTAATTATGACTTTTTTTCCAGTTTCCCTTGTAACTCTGCAATCTTCTCATTCATCATGTTTGTTCAACATAATTATGTCTAATTGATTTCCTACCTCCAATATTTTCTCCTAAAAAATACTCCATATCACAACTAGAATGGTCTAAATTTTTTTTAAAAAGGCCGGGCACAGTGGCTCATGCCTGTAATTCCAGCACTTTGGGAGGCCAAGGTGGGCGGATCACAAGGTCAGGAGATTGAGACCATCCTGGCTAACATGGTGAAACCCCCGTCTCTACTAAAAATACAAAAAAAAAAAAAAAAATTAGCCAGGTGTAGTGGTGGGCGCCCTATAGTCCCAGCTACTCGGGAGACTGAGGCAGGAGAATGGCGTGAACCAGGGAGGTGGAGGTTGCGGTGAGCCGAGATCACACCACTGCACTCCAGCCAGGGCGACAGAGCGAGACTCCGTCTCAAAAAATAAATAAATTTAAAAAAATAAAAATAAATAAAAATTTCTTATCATTTTCTTGTATGTACCGTTCCAATGCTTCTCTATTGCCCTTGGGAGAAAGTCCAAATTCACCCATCTTTATGGTACACACCATCATAGTAAGCCATTTACAGTACAAATGATGCCATGATTCTGTCACAATACAACACACCTTTGTAACCCCATTTCCTTTGCCTAAAGTGCCTTTTCTAAACATCTCTCCATTGCTAACTTCCATTTGTCTTTCAAATCTCAAATTGATATCCTCCCAGAGGAGCAGTTCCTGAACCTTCTAGACCTATGATGCCCAATATGATAGCCACCAACCATGCCTAGTTATTGAGCACTGAATTATGGCTACTCTGAATTTAGATGTACTGAAAGTGTAAAATACACCAGATTGTGAAGGCTTAGTATGGAAAAAAAGTCAAATATCTTAGTAATAATTTTTATATTGGTTACATGTAAAATATTTTGGACATATTATTAAACAGAATATAATTTTGAAATTAGTTTCCTTTTTTAACTTTATGTGTCTAAAAGAAAACTCAAAATTATATGTGGCTTGTATCAAATTTTAACTGGACACCAGCTGGCCTAGATAAGCCCCTTTTTTCAGTGCCTTATAGTTATTTCTTTACTAGCATTTGTTTTATATTTTAAAATTACTAGACTGTCTTCTGCACTAGACTGCAAGCACCTTAGGAACAAGAGGCTTTCTTGGTCAACATAGTAATACCAGAGGTAAGGCTGCTAAAGTACACACAGACAATCTTCATTATTTTTTGATTCCATATTTGCAAATTTGCATACTTGACATAATTTACTTATAATCTCAAAATCAATATTTGCAGTGCTTTTGAAGTCATTTGTGAACACACAAAGAGACTTGTGCCACCTAATGCACATTTAGCTGAGGTCAAACACAGTGATGCTCTCCCTTCTTGTTTCAGTTGTCAAACTGTAAACCAGTATTGTTTTCAGTCTGTTTATCACCAGTTTTTGCATTGCTGTGCTTTTTGTTGGTGATTTCACTGTACGAAATGGCCCCCAAACACTGTGCTGAAGAGCTGTCTAATGTTCCGAAACACAAGAAAGCTACAGTGTGCCTTACAGAGAGCATATGTTAGATAAGCTACCTTCAGGTATGAATTACATTGCTGTTGGCCATGAGTTTAATGTTAATAAATCAACAATATATAGTAAATCAGGTGTCTCTAAACAGAAACACACTAAAAATCACATATTAACAAATGTTGTGGCCCAGAGGCTCAGAGGAACCTAACCCTGTATTTCCCTTAGGAGCACCGGTTTAGTATTTGCCAATTCAGTGTTCTTACTGATTTCAGGAGAACTGACTGTATTTATTGAATAAGTGATGCCCAGTCATTTGATTCCAAAACCAAATCTTTTGTGAATGCAGTATATGTTGGTAGGTAGAGCAGTGACTCTGGAACCAAACTGCCTATGTTCCAATCTTGGTTTTCTGACTTACTAGCTTTGTATGCTGGGGCAAATTGCTTAACTTTTCTCCTTTTTCCATAACTAAAAATGCAGGTTAAAACAGTACTGTTAATATTTGCCAGGGCCTGGGTGTAGAAGGAGGAAACTGATCACGAAAAGCCACTAGAAAACTTTTGGAATGCGGGAAATATTCCATATCTTGATCATAGCAGATGATCAAGATATCTTTTTCAAAACTCATAAAAAGAAAACGGACAAATTTTACTTTATGTGAATAACTTAAAAAGGTTAAAAATAGAGAGCAGCAGTCACAATCAAAGGAATAATGCACATCAAAAATTTAGTACACTACCTGCCTATATAAATACTAAATACTATTAGTCATCATTCTAAAAACAATAGGGAAAAGTTAGGAGGTATAAGGAAAAGCAAAAACACCTAATGAACCGAGATTCTAATCTGGCTCTTTCTTTTTGGGGGGTTGGGCGTGGGGAGGGGGGTGGTCTCACTCTGTCACCCAGGTTGAAGTGCAGTGGCCTGATCTCGGCTCACTGCAATATCCACCTCCCAGGCTCAAGTGATCCTCCCACCTCAGCCTCCCGAGTAGCTGGGACCACAGGTGCATGGCACCACACCCACCTAATTTTTTGTATTTTTGGTAGAGATGGGGTTTCACCATGCTGCCCAGGCTGATCTTGAACTCCTGAGCTCAGGCAACCCACCTGCCTCAGCCTCCCAACGTGCTGGTATTACAGGCATGAGCCACTGCTGTAAATACACTGCTTTGTAATATACAAAGGCATGAGCCTTTGTATATTAGCTAGAGGCTGAATGCAGTACATGAGAGGGCAGTAACTTATTGCAAAAGTTAAATTGGACATGTTTGAAAGATATGTGAAAACTGTAGAGGCACATAGGAATGTAAGGTATGGGATTATTCATGAGACAGCAATAGGAAATCAAAGTACCACATAAATGCGGGTGTGGAACGGGAAATAATTTCCTAGGTCACCTCCCCAAGAGGATACTGTGGTGAGCTGTGAAATGAAACTGTGAAGGGGGAGTACATCTCTTTTAAGAACCTTTCTATTGCAGTCTACAAGCTCTAGATCAACTTTGAAGACCATCTAAGCGTTCTAATGTGGCACAGTTAAACCCCAAACTCTAAGGAATGCCAATGCCAGGAGGAAAGAAGGCATGAGGTGGCAGAACACCTCTCTGGACCCACAATGCCGTAGAAGTCAGACACCCTTCGCCTCCACAACTTCACAACAGCCTTTGCTGTGAGAAGTGGATTAATTCATTTCACTGCTGGCTTGTTAGCTGGCGGATGCTTCAGGAGTTCCTACCCGGGGGAGCAGCGCTGACTCTACAGGGGCACCCCGCGCCAGTCGCTGCCAAAAATCTCACCAAGGGGTGAATGGGGTCCTCAGGACCCGCGGTGCCAAGCTAGGTATTAAAATACCGCACCTGAGTTCTTCTTCAAGGACCAGGAGGCGGTTCGAACCCCAAGAAAGGCTGCAAGCTGAACCAGAAGCTCAAACCTAAAGTTCGCTTCACAGCCAGCCACACTGGCACTCGCTGAATCGGCGCGCCTCGCGAGTTCTGACAATTGTCATGTGATAACTGCCACGCACCTGATGGCAGAGGCCACTGGATGCCTTGCTTGGTTCCCATTAAAGTCGACTGCGACCCCAACGCAACAAACCTAAGAGTTGGAAGGCGCAAGTTCCTCTGCCAGCGAGCTCACCCTCGGCAATCAGACTGCTGAAAGTGCGCTCCACGCCGGAAGTGCACTAATCCGCAGCACGTGGGGTTGCCAGGGCGCTCTTCACGTGACTGGGCGGAGCCTCAGGAATCTGGTAGCCAATGGTAGCCCGAGAGGGCGGTGCCTGTGACGCTCCGGGGCCTATCCCGGAAATGGGGCTGAGGTGGGGGCGGGTAAGGGCGGGGAGGCTGGGGTGTGGAAAGTGTGGCGGCCCCGCCCCGTCTCTTGGAACTGCCGCGGCCGCCACCGCCGCCGCCGGCGCCGCAGCTGTAGGGGACCAGCGCGGGTACGCAGACGAAAGGCACTCTTTGCCAGCTGAAAGGTGAGGACCTGGGGAAAAGCTGGTGGGGATGGGGCCAGAGCGAGGCAGGGCCGGGGAAGGCGCCCAGAGCCAAGCGCTGACCGAGGGAAGGAAGGAGAATGGATGGGGGAACAGAGGCGAGCGCGGGACCGCCGGGGCTCAGGCCCTGGTGGGGCCGGGCCGAGCTGAGCCGAGGATGCCGGCAGAACAGGGGGCGCCTATGCGGCCGCGGCGGCGGCGTTGAAGGGTGGACGGGGGGGTGCGCGCCAGCTAGCAGAGGGCCGGGTGCCGCCGGCCAGGTTCTGTTACCCCGCATCCTTCGCGGGGACGTGCGGCCTGGGCTGGATACCCCGCAGCAGGGTTCGGGGCGGCGGCCGAGTGCTGGGCGGCGCGGGAAGGTCGCCGGCTTCTGCGGTGGGGCGATGGGGGCCGCAACCTGCTGTTTCCAGCGCGGAGGAGCGCCCAGGGCGGGTGTCCCCACCCTCAGCGAGCTCTTCTGCGACTTCTCATCCCACCTCCCCAAGCAATAGCTGGAAAAGTTTGTAGAGGCCAGAGTTAGAAAGTGTCCACTAGTCTAGGGTGGGTGTTCCTTACATGCAGAAATAACAGGCCCGTGATGCTTGGCACATAACTTGTCCGAAATGAGACGTTTCCGTGCCTACATACCCGTTGTTGAAAAGCAAACACAAACTTTTTGTGTGTAGTTCCCACGGAAAAACTACCATCTCCCCAGCCCACCATGGCGGACGAAATTGATTTCACTACTGGAGATGCCGGGGCTTCCAGCACTTACCCTATGCAGTGTTCGGCCTTGCGCAAAAACGGCTTCGTGGTGCTCAAAGGACGACCATGCAAAATAGTGGAAATGTCAACTTCCAAAACTGGAAAGCATGGGCATGCCAAGGTAAGTGCCCTTGCAGATCAGGCTTTGGCTTTGGCGTTGGAACTTTGATCATTTGTGTTCCGTTACAGATCATGAGATTTCTATACTTAAAATTTTGTAATAAGCACTGTTTTTTCCTTCCCACAATTACTGGGTGATCAGTTATTACGTTGAATACTGAAAGGTAGCAGTCCCTTCTTGGGCCCTTAACAATGTTCATTAACTGGGAACTGAAACTTTCCTGAATCCTAGTGACTTAGAAGATCTATTCAGTTTACAGATAAGAAAACCTGTTCCAGCAATTCTAAGAAACCTACACTTTATTTTTCTTGTGTAATCTCATAATTGAATCACTGGACTATATTGGGTCTTGACATGTGATACTGTTTAGTTGTTTACTGCCTCCTAATTGTAAGACCACTACTTTTTTTTAAGTAAAATCAGATGACCTTGGAAGGCGGAGAAAAGGAATCTGTCGTAATCAGCGTTGGTATTGTGCTCTTGTGTGTGTAATGAGTGATATACTTGGCAGAGATTAAACAGGTTTCCTGTTCTCCTCTGTTAGGTTCACCTTGTTGGAATTGATATTTTCACGGGCAAAAAATATGAAGATATTTGTCCTTCTACTCACAACATGGATGTTCCAAATATTAAGAGAAATGATTATCAAGTAAGCACTGATTTTCTTTAGAATGTTGCTTGTTACTTCAAGGTGCAAATACTTTGTACTATCAGTAATAATTTGACAAAACCCAAGAGTAGTTTTGTAGGTTTTTCTAACCAATTATTAGGCACCACCTATCTTAGAAACTGGAGAAATAGTGATGTTTAACACTTGTACCTTTTCTAGGATTATTGCTAGTTTGCTATTTTTTTTCACATTCTTGCATTTTTTTAAAAAGTCAAATACTTATTAGTGCTCCTCAGGCCAAGTGACTGCATATTGCAATTAAGTCCAATGTTTAGTAAAAGTACTATTCTCTCTGTTATTATATATTTCTTATTCTAATTTAAAACATCCCTCCTGGATGTTTTGTTTCTTTTCACTGATCAGACCTAAGACATTCAAGAAACTACTGAAATTCATGTTCCTACCAAGTTTTTGTATTAATGAATGTTAGTCAGAACCTGACATTCTTAAGTAGGGAAATAAGTTGAAAGCCATAAATATAAAGTACATGGTCACTGAGTATGGTGAAGAAAACACGAAAACTATGTAATTGGTTAAATTACGTTCAGTGACCATGTTGTGACCTTTTGCTAAATTATATATGTAAATTTCAAGTTTTAGTTCCAGCTATACATTTGGGTAGGTCATATTTAATGATAGCATTTTGTTGTTTGGAGTACTGATGATAACCAAATAATTGACCTTATAGGATGTGGAAGCTCAGATTACTCATAACTAAAGCTTTTCTTGAAAGTCTTCAGTTTCTACATCAAGCATATCATATATCAAACTCATTTCTGCTCATTTTACGTAGTAAAAACTACATAGTTGACACTGGTATTTGTTTTATCCAACTTAAACTGATTTTTTTCTGTACCCTTTATTGTATAAATTTTTTTAATGTTGCTATCAACTGCACTTAGGCAATGATTTCCTTTTGCTGTTTGTCCACATGCAAACATACTTTTTTGTAGTTTTAATCTAGTAAACACTTCTATGTTTTCATTTTCCGACTTGTCATAAATGTTTTCTAGGTTGCTTTGAAGTCTTTGTAGAAATTTGAATTGTCTTGCAAGTGGGTTTTTTTAACCAGGTAGATCTGAGTTTGGATCTAGTTCTGTCACTTTCTAGTTGGATGATTTTGGACAAGTAATACAACCTTTCTGAGCCTGTCTTCTCATCTACAAAATAGGGATAATATGAGGATTAAATGAGAAAATGTACCCCATAAGAACTCCATAAGTAGATATGTACCAAAAAGTACTGTTCTGTTTCCCCCTTTTCCTATGTAAAAATTCTACTTAATCATTTCATTATTGTTGGAACACCAAATTTGATGTGGTTCATAGTGGGTGCTCAAAAAAATTTGTTAAATATATATTCTACTTAATCATTTCATTATTGTTGGAGCACCAAATTTGATGTGGTACATAGTAGGTGCTCAAAAAATATTTGTTAAATGTGTGATTACTGAATATGGTAAGGATAGTACAGTAGGCTAAAGCTGAGCATAGAATTTTGTCAAAATTGGGTTTCTCTTCATCTTAAAATGTGAATGCTTCAAATATTCAGTATTAATTATATTCAGTAATATTCATTCAATATAGAATGCTTTTGCCTGTTGCATGTTTCAGAAAGATGGTATCAGCAGTTCAGATAATTACTATTATACTATGTTAAGGTTAGCCAGTCATTTATCGGAGCTCAAGACTTAAAGGAAAAATTTGATTTGGGTCCTAGACTAGGATGAGGCGAGTGAAGTGAGGGAGGCTCTTGCCTCAGGCACAAAATTTTAGAGACAGAACTAGTAACAATGACAAGCCATATAGGAGCTCAAGGCGCAAAGAAAATTCTGATCCCATCTTTATTTAAAATGTTGGTATTTTATCATAGGATTTTTTCATTAATTCTAATTTTTTTAAATATTGCATTAAAGTGCTTATCTGGTCACTGAGGTTTTTTTGGTGCCTTCTTTAATTTTGCACCCAAGACAAGTTCTTACTTCACCCTTGTCCCAGCCCTTGGTATGTACACCGCACTGCAAAGTGGGTAAGAGGATGATTTAAGCCAGTCAGGCTTGGTCCTGGTCTCTACTTTGGCACTTAATAGCTGTGTGACCTTGGTTGACAAGTTACTTAACCTGTTTTGCTTTAATTTCTTTCTTTGTAAAGCAAAGACATAAATAATAATGTCTTATGGGATCATTTTGAGGTTTTATTAGTTAATACAACAATGCCTGGCATAGAAATTACTCATTATTTCTCAGCTCTTCATTTTCAAGTCAGCATAGAAAACTTATTTCTGTTAATTTTTTTAAAAAAACTAGTTCTCCAGCCTGGGCAATGTGGTGAAACCCTATCTTTACAAAATACGGAAAAAAAAAATAAAAATAGCCAGGCATGGTGGTGTACGCAGCTGTAGTCCCAGCAGACCCAGAGGCTGAGGTGGGAGGATCACTTGAGCCCCCGGAGGTCAAGGCTGCACTGAGCCATGATCACTCCACTGCGCTCCAGCCTGGGCAACAGAATGGGACGCTGTATCAAAAAAAAAAAAAAAAAAAAAAGTTCTGTGAGCCTTTCTATTTATATTTATTGTGCTTTGGTGATCTTCACTTACCTAACCAAGTACCTTGATTAAATACCTACTCATTATTTGGCTGTGTGTAATCCTTTATATTTGCTGAATTCAATATTTTGAGTGCCAGTTTGGCAGTTGGCTAAAGAGAAATATGTATTCTGTTCATTATAGTAATTAAAAAGTAAACAGGAAACAAAACATATTAATATTTATAGTTTTAATTTTATGTGTTTTAAAATAAGTTCAGAATGAAAGAAAAAATGTCTCCTGACTTCTTTTTCAAGATTAGCTTGGATTAGAATTGCTTATTTACATTACTTCTCCCAAAAGTAGTTATAGATGTCTGGGACTCAGTGATGGTGTAAATTATAAATACATCCAGATATAACTTTGGGAATCCCCAAATTCATAGAGAAATGCTTATTCAGACGTTAGTACACTCTGGAATCATATTTCTTTGGAAAGTTCTGTGTTGATATAAACCTCACCACAAGTTAAATGCCGTTTCTGCATTTACTAAAGTTTTACCTGCCATTTGAAGAACATTTTCCAGAAGGAAAACTAATTACTACAGACACATAAAGTACATATTGTGGATCTTTGGATTATTAGTGAATTGCCAAAACTGAGACTATTAAATCCCAGTATATTCTTCAAATATGTAGTATATTATTTGAATGTTGAGATACGTTAATTGAATTCAAATAAGTAGTATATCATTTGAATGCTGAGATGTGTTAATTGAATTCCAATAAGTAGTATATTATTTGAATGTTTAGATATGTTAATTGAATTCCCTGAGCTTAAAGTCTTTCTATAATTTTTACCTGTTTCATGGGAATCCTTGTGTTCTCAGATGGAAGCAGTCTTTCTTTGGAAATAGAAAACCTCTAAACCAATAGGGCCCAATATTGCAAGGACTAGAAGCAAATATTTGTTACAGGATCATTAAGGGTAATCATGAGAAGAGCCACTAACTTTAGTTCCTAGACCTGTGTATTCTATTATGGGAAAAATAGCACCATATATTGAAATATATTGTAACCTGCCAAAAACAACACTCTAGGCCAACAAAGTACCATCCAGCAGGTACCATATGTGAGTCTTCACTAGGCCGATCCACAGAGGCAAGCTGTTTTGGAATGATAGGGTACATGAACCAGCGAATTATCTGGGTGTTTCACTCCCTCGTTACTTTGCCTGTAAAATTAGTTTTCTAGTCAGAAGTGATGCAATGTGAGATACTATGACAGGAGTGAGGCATTCTGTAAATTGGGATGAGATTTTAGCAGAAGCACTGCAGGCAAGAAAGGCAAATCCATATGTAGAGTAAAACTACTGCAATAAGAAAAAATTGCTGCCTGTTTCATGATGGAAGGGGTGCAGTCAGGTGACCAGCTGTTCTTCTGGGGAACATATCAAGACTTCTTGTTCATTTGTTCTATGTTCTTCCTCTGCCATATCAAGACTCTCCTGTTGCTGTGAGGTTTTCAGTAGTGGCTGTAGTCAGATCAGTATTGGTGAGAGAAAGCCTGTGTCATTGATCCCACTAAGCAAAGACGAGGGAAGCTACAAAAAGAAGCTGAGGTCAGGTGCAGTGGCTCACACCTGTAATCTTAGCACTTTGGGAGGCCAAGGCGGGCAGATCACGAGGTCAAGAGATCGAGACCATCCTGGCCAACATGGTGGAACCCTGTCTCTACTAAAAATATAAAAATTAGCCGGGCATGGTGGTGCGTGCCTGTAATTCCAGCTACTCAGGAGGCTGAGGCAGGAGAATCACTTGAACCCGGGAGGCAGAGGTTGCGGTGAGCTAAGATCCCGCCATTGCACTCCAGCCTGGGCGACAGAGCGAGAATCCATCTCAAAACAAAAAAAAAAAGGCACCTGTATGTCTCTACAAAAAATACAAAAATTAGCCAGTGTGGTGGCACGCACCTGTAACCCCAGCTACTCGGGAGGCTGAGGCAGGAGAATTGCTTGAACCTGGGAGGTGCAAGTTGGAGTGAGCTGAGATCACACCACTGCACTGCAGCTGGTGACAGAGCGAGACTCGGTCTCAAAAAAAAAAAAAAAAAAAAAAAAAAAGCTGAATGGCATTCACACATTCACAGTGAGAATCACCTTGTACACCTAATTTTTTAGAGCCTAATCTCTACAGATTCCCTTGGGTGAGCATTCATGTGGACACATTCTTCAATTATTTGGAGAGGTCTGTAAACATACCACTTCTCCAAACCTTACTGTCAGCAGTTTTCCTATCTTGTTCTTTCTGTGTCCTTAACCTTCCAGCCAAATTGTTAGCTACAGCTGCTAATCAGTGCAAATACACACTTCTGGTTCTGTCTTCTTTCAGGTCCAGTGCTTGAAGTTCTTCCCAAACCCACTTTCAGGCCGACCCCTGAATGGCGGCGTCATCATAT